CCCCCTAAATTGCTTTGTATCCCAATGGCCCCAAAATGTTTTTACCCTCCGAATTATTTGCACAAAGAAGCATCTAAACACTTTCAGAAATCTCGTGCCCATGCCGAATGCGAGCGTGGGATTGTGGTTGACCTACTGTGGTCGGATCCGAATCGAAAAGAAGACAAATGCCAATTCAACAAGATTCGTGGAATTTCGAATGTCTTTGGGAAATCGGCGGTCGATGACGTTTGCAATGCACTCGATATTGATCTCATTATCAGAGCGCATGAGTTGAAAGAGGTTTGTTACTGTAACTTGTGTCTTTGCGCGAGTTTTTCTCGTTTCCTGTGAGAGATATTGGAAAATGACCAACTGACAAAATGTTGAGCATAACATCAGAAAGCTTTTGTTAGTTAAACATTTTTTGACATCTCTCACAGGAACCGAGATAAACTTTGTCAAAGTAAGTGAGTCCAAATTCTATAATTTAGTTTTATATGTAGGTTTTTTTTTTGAAAACAATATCGTTTTTGTTTTCTAATCATTAATCTTGGAGAAAACATCCAAAACCAAAAAAAACCATTCATCAAAAAAGTTTGAATTAAATTTACTGTATCAACAACACAACATCAAACGGCTTCTCATCTCATGAACTGGTTCTCCTCTGTTGATTTATGAAAACTAAGATTCACAAATTGGAATTTATCAAAATACCAGAAACATTTTGGCGTTGGAAAATTTTTACTCAAATCCCTTCAGAATGGCCACGAATTCGAATTCGACAATCGCCTTCTCACTGTATTCTCTGCGCCCTATTATTCGGGAAACAATGCCAACTGCGGATCAGTTGTCACAATTAGTCGAAGTCTAAAACTACAAATCGTCACTTTGAAACCAGCCAAAGGACACGATTCGATGAAACTGGATAAACAGACGATGCATGATTTTGAGGCAAATTTCCAGCCACTCAACGAGGATCCAGCCAAAACTTGTAGAATTTTTTAAAAGATTTACAGTAACGACGCTGATAGAACCGCCACTTTTAAGCCCATACATCTAAGTTCCTGTGAAAGATATCAAAAAATGGTCAACTGACAAAATGTTTATCAATATTTCAGCAACATTTGATCAGTTATCCACTTTTTAATATCTTTTACAGGAACCGAGATATATGGGCCCAAAGTTGAGTTGACGGTTTAGATGCGTCCTATTAGAGTGGTTCCGGTAGATTTAAATTTCTATTTTCTATTTTCAGTGACCTGTCAATACAATTTCCCACAGGATCGCACTAAAATGGGTCCGTACCTTGGAAAGTATTCAATGTTTGCACATGAGACGAAGAATTGCATAAAGGCAAATGAGGAACCACTGAAACCGTTGGTTTGTGTTCGACCTGCTGAAGAAAATACCGCTCTGGCGGCAATTCGAAAAACCATGAAAGGATATGGGTTGGCGATTAGTTTGAAGTGAGATTTGACAAAATTTCGTATTAGCATGGTGGCCTAATTTTTGCAAGTTGAGTTTTCTAGGCCACCAACTCTTATGGCCTAGAAATGAATTGGCATTCAATTGTTATGTTTCTTAGGTCTTTTAACATGATGACCTAGAAAGCTCACTTTGCAAAAGTTAGGCCATCGTGTTAAAAAGGCCTAGAAAATCCACCAGGTTAATATCAGGTCATTTCTAGGTCTTTTAACATGGTGGCCAAAAAATCTTACTTTGCAAAAGTTAGGCCATCGTGTTAAAATAGCCTAGAAAGTCCACCGGGTTAATATCAGATCAATTCTTGGCCATAAACGTCGGCGGACTAGAAAAATAACATGAAAGTTAGGCCACCATGCTAAAATGACCCAGATCACACATCATGTGTATGTTAGACCATTTCTGAACCATCAACTACGGTGACCTAGAAAAATCATATTGAGAAAGTTAGGCCACTCTGTTCTTCGAGAATTCTAGGCCACGGCTTCGGGCCACCTTTTTTTCACGAGTTTTCGCCGCTAAAATCCATTGAAACCACTGTCCGCCACTTTTTTAAAAGACCGCCCGCGGCCGTGGCCTAGATTTATCACTGCGCTGGAACTCGTTCCTACTCTCAAATTTTTTGCTCTCAACGGAAACAAATTCGAGCGGAGTTTCCCTTTAAACCAAAATTATTTCTTCAGAGATGAATCGATGTCGTTGGAGTCGATTCGCCGTAAACTTGGAACGTCGGACATCAAGGACAAGCTGGCTCCGCCCCCTCCAGTGAAGACGCCAACTCCTGAAGGACCTCCACCGCCATCACCACCCTCGATCCCACCGTCTCCGCCATCTTCAGCTGAATCCGCATAGTGAACTCTCGTTTTATCAGTAACAAAACAATATTTATGAAGAAACGACACAAAAAAGAACAGATATTATGAACTATAAAACGTTAGAAATTTGTGAATAGAACAATGATGCGATATATAAAACAGTTGTTTCTCAGAATTTCTCCTTGATATGATTTCCTTGAATTTCATTCGCTGACGACACTTGGGCCGATGAGACTGGAACGAACTGAGCGGTGATGACACGGACGTTCGGTGGAAGAACACATGGGAAGCTGATGACTGTGGTCTCCTCGAATTGAGTGTCTCCTTCGATGGTCACAGTTCGACGCGTCTCGATTGACATTGTCTCCGTCGAGGAGGGCTCTGAAAACAAACTTTTCTATGAATTTTTGAATCCCCAGATTTGCTCTTTTTTAAGAATTTTCATCGAAATCTGCGTTTACAAGATGTTGGCCATTGTTATACCTTTGATTTTATCTCTGACTGCTGGACTAGCCGCCTTGATTGGTGCCGCTGCTTCGATCTTCGTATTCGTTCTTCCTTTCGCGAGCGTGGAGCTCAATTCAGCTGGCGCTGGCTTCACAGGGAGCTTCAATGCGTTGTCCAATTGCTCCGAGAATTTATCGATATCCGGAGTCGCTCGTGCGTTTGTTGAGACAGATTTCAAAGTGTTGTTGTTGACTGAGGTGGTGTTGATGGGAGTGGTATTGCCGTAGCCGAACCCTCGGTAATATGAACTGCGAGATATTTGACTCCCCAATTTCGCGTTTTGCAGCGATACGTCTGAAAAAGAGTTTTTTTTTGGAAGGTTTTTTGAGCTATTTCCTGAGCTGAATGTATCTTTGATAAGTGATTGAGCTCAAAATTCAAAAAAAATTCTGAAATTTTGATTCAAAAACATGTTTATTATTTAAACTACGGTGGCCGCCACCGCGCTCGCTGCGAGACCAGCGCAGCTCGAAGCACATCTTTCCTTTGAACTCCTCCGGTTGCGATCGAGGGGCTCTTTTCGAGGAATCGATCTCAAATATTGTGAAACCTGTATGCCGATTCTTCTATTTTTCCGAAATTTCACAGAAAAAAAAATCTATCAATTTCACTATTGTCGAATTAAAAAAAGTGGCACCTGAGAATTTGAAAACTTTTTCTTTTTTTGATCTACGAAAAAGTACGGCAAAAAAGTAATATTTCAGAATTTCGGCTCGTTCGAGCTACTTTTGCGTTTAAGTTTAGTTTTATTGCTGAAAAATAGATTCTAGAGATGCTAACGATAATTTTTATACCAAGAAATCAAAATTTTGTTCCTTATATTTTTCGTGTCATTTTAACGATAATTTTCGTCGAAAAATTCGTAGAAATCTCGCTCGAAATTCATGAAAATCTATCAATTTCACCAACATTGAGCAAATTTTTGAACAAATTTCTGTGAAATTGAGAAATTTTCGGAAATTTTTTCACCAAAAACGTATGAAAACGTTTAATTTCAAACGACACATTCCGAAGGGGCCCTTCTAATACAGGTTTTACGGGATCTTCGAGGGACACCCCATCAATCGCAGAACGATTTTCAAAATCTCACCTTTTCCACTAATCAACGATCCATTGCCTTTTTTCGGCGCCTCTGCGAGCACCTCATCGTCCAGAAACCGACTCGCTTCAACTTCATCAAAATCATCCGTATCGACAGTCTTCTTCGGACACAATCTCGAAATATGCCCATGTTCCTGACAATGGAAGCAGTGTCCTGGACCGCCGCGTCCTCTACGACCACCCGATCGACGTCCCGATCGTGTTCTTTTCGTCGGTGAAATCCCTGGAGAGGGTCCTCCGAACGTACGTGGAACACCCAGAACATTGACAGTAGGCGTTGGCGTCGCAATTCGTTCTTTATTCGACATCAACGATTCTTCAGTGGCTGAAGGCTTGATTCTCGACCCAAAAGCGCTTGATTGAGTGCGAACGAATCCCGAAAAGTTATCGAAACTTGAGGTTTTCTCTGCTCCTCCACGTGGTGTAGAGCTCAAACTATCCGAAGCCGTAGCGCCGAATCCTCCACCGAACTTTTTCGGCTGACCAGACAAGCCTCCGATCTTCCGGAACCCGCCTCCAGCGTTCTCATTCACAGGTGTCGGCCATGGGTTTACAGCACGAGTTCGATAGTAGCTGTCTCTATCCTGAAATTTGTTTATAAATTCCGAAAAAAAGAGAATTTAGGCCAAAAATACCATTAATTTCAGTGGCGCTGCTTCGCTCGACACTTCCGACATTTGAAAATCCTGAAAAAAAATTGAGTTTCATGCTAAAAACGGCATTTGGGAAGCGAAAGACGGAAAAAATAGGCCGGAAAAAAAAATTGTCCTAAAAATGTTTTTCAGCGATAAATTTATCGACTTTCCTGGATTTTTTATCTTTTTCTTCCACTTCGCGTGGATGAAAAAAAAATTCTGGTTGAAATTGAGAAGCTCACATTCGTCCGGGAAGTTACAGGAGACTTCGTCCAAGGAACGAACATTTTCGCTTCTTTCGTGGCAAGACCATCGAGTCTACAGTAGCCCGGACGAAAATATTTTTTCATTTTCTGTCGGCGAAAACGGCTTTTAAACAGGATAAAACGATATTTATTCAGATTCTATATATTAAAAAAAATGTGAACAATTTTCTTGGCACTTGAAATGTTGCAAAAACACAGGAGCGAGAAAAAGGAAAGTAAAAAATGCCTCTTGAAGAGGAGGAAATCTCTACTAGTAACATAGAAGAAACAAATGAGATATTTTGATTTATTAAATTGTTTATATCACTGTGTTCACAAGATTAGTATACAGAGAAAAAATGAATTAATCAAGATCGATGACTTCCGTCGTAGAATTCATAGAATTCATGGGATTTTTGTGCATTTCGCGGAGCTGCTTGCAGTCTGAAAACTGATTAAAATTGAATAGCAGAAGAGGAAATTAAAAAAAAAACGAACGGTTATCAAAAACGCTTCCTTCGGCGGTGCAAATTGTTCCGTCAGCGAGTTTTACGAAGGCACCCGATTTCGGAACGATTAGCTGAATCGGAGTGTTCATCGGCACTGGACGCAGTTGTTCCGATTGTCCCTGCACCGGGAATACAAGTGCTGTAAAAAATCCAGTTAATGAAGCCAAAATCTTTCAAAAATGCATGGCATCGCGGAGTCAATTTTGGACGCGTCGCGTGTCGGCGTAGCGGTTGCCAGCTGAGGTGCGACTTATCTTAAATTTTCAGATCGTGTTTTGAAAATTAAAGCGACCGCTACGTCGACACGCAACGCCTCCAAGATACCCTTGTCGGGCGGCACCTCACCTCTATCCGTAATAATGTTTTGTACAGCTCCCGCGGGATTAATAACCGGCTTCTGGCTAGACGCTGCTCCGGGGAACGCAGTTGGATCTATCGGAGGAAGCATTTGATGACGTGGTCCTAGCGAATTGTTATTATTCTGATAGGAATTCTGGTATGACGTCATAGTGTGCCCACCGCCAGGTTGATGATGAAACTGGCTAACGTTCATACGAAGAGTATGGGGCGGAGCTTGGTAGTTCGGTTGTTGATGTGGTGGTGGCTGTTGCATCTGTAGTTTTGGTGGTCCAGCGAATGGGGTACCGAATTGATGTTGATACGGTTGTTGTGGCTGGTAGTTCTGCTGTTGGAATTGATTCTGCTGTTGATTCCAATTCCCATTGAACTGTTGTTGCTGCGGCTGTTGATAAGACGGCATTGGTCCCACCATCGAACTGCTACTCGGCATCGTACTAGTATAATAACTGGAGCTGCTCAGCCCTGCCAACGGATCGTAGTTTTCCATTCTTCTCTCCCTCTCGAACAACAACTGAGCCTCTCGTTTCTCCTGCTCACTTAACGATTGCTCAGATTCCATGATAAGGGTCTCGTGGAGGAATGGTTTCTGAGAGAACATCTGACTCATTCTCTTGGTAATTGAATCTAGTACGGTATCTCCGAAATCCCAATCATCAGTGTCCCATTTATCGTTTTTGATGTCTTGGGACTCATCGTACATGAGCAGGGTCTCCAACTCCTTCTGAGAAATATTCGCATCAACTTGAGCGTCGTCCACTACTCTTTGTTGGAGTCCGTGCTTCGAAATTTGGCGGTTGAAAATCGACCGTTCCATTGAGTTGTCCATAATCAAACGATAGACGAACGTCTTCTTTTGTTGACCATATCGATAGACACGACATACGGCTTGCGCGTCGTGGCAAGGATTCCAACAGGCGTCTATGATGATGCAACGGTTTGCTGAGACCTGGAAACAATAATTGGTATTATTCTGGTCTAATTTCAATGCGGAGGACCCTCAAATTCCGATGGTAAAACCAGGGAAAGTGGGCGGAGCCTAAATTGCAAGCATGACACGGTTGTGCCGCACGGTTTTTTTCTGATGTAAATGTGCAAAAAAATCGTGCCTGGCTTGAATTTCAGGCTCCGCCCATTTTTCTCGAAAAATGAATAAATTTCAACAACTTGAAGGGTGGGCGGAGCTTAAGATAGGACCTAAGCTCCGCTTCTCGACATTTTAGAGAAATCCTGATCCCTACCAAATTAATTCCCAGAGATCCAGCTCTGGTAGAAATCAAGAAAAGATGAAGGCCAGGCTCCGAATTGAATCGATTGATGAGTTTTTCCCGATCCGCACCACTCGTCGTACCATCCAGTCTCAAATAGTTCCGATTCTTCTCCCATCTCTCTTGATGCTCCGATTTCTCCTTTTTCACCACTTGACGCTTTCTCAGAATCTCTTCAAGCATGTCAAGCGCCGTCAAATTCTGACTGAATATCAAAATCTTCTCTCCAATTTTAGTAGATTCATCTAGGATTTCCAACGCCACAACAATCTTATATCCATTCTCTAGAACGCCCTCTTGATATGTCTCAAAGAGTTGTGTTGTCCAATCATAACGCATTCTGGATTCCTTCTCCTCTCCTTCTATTTCCTCTTCGTCACTTTTCGTTTTCTTCGATGCGCGAGTTTTGCGTGTTTTCTTTGTTGAAGAAGGATTCGGAGTTCCAGCAGCAGACGGCGTTGAAGGACTCGAAGGAATCGGAGTGAACGGAGAGTGGTTGACTGGGTAGTTGCATTGAGGCCACGCCTGGAAATACTAGAAGGAATAGTGACATGTACAGTACCGATCAATAAGATGGACAAAAATGTATTTTTCAATTGATTTTCAGCCAATTTAAGGAGTCTGGAGCTCGGCTGTCAGGTTTCCGATCACCTTGAAAATTTTGGCGATCAAAGCAGACCTAGTTTGAAAACTTTGCAATCATAGATTTTTTTAAAAATTCCTATTTTTCAGTTTTTCCCAGCATCTGAAAGACGCCCCTCTTTGGACCGTTTTCGGCCTAATTATCCCTTATCAAGGTCATTTTTTGCCCTTTTTTGGAGAATTTTCTTTTTGATGATGTTTGATCCGTTTTCAGGCAGTTTTAAGTTCGTTTTTCTAAACGACACAACGTAGTTCAACGACGAAGAGCCCGTAACGGCTCAAAAATGCTTCAAAAAGCGGACCAAAGATGGGTGTCTTTCATAAATTGGATAATGACTGAGAAACTAGAAACTTTAAGAAAATTCTGTTAATGCAAAGTTTTCAATCTAGGTCTGTTTTATAACCTCCAAAATGTTCAAAGTGATCGGAATCTTGACAACAGAGCTTCAGACTCCTGAAAGTGGTTTAAACGGTAATTTCAGAATTATTTAACTCGGCTTTCTGAGTTCTGAAAGCGGAGAAAAAAGTGTCGGAAAAAACATACATTCTGCACAAACATTCCATTTGGAATCTGCATTCCATTTTGCGGTTGAAACTGTGCCCCGAATCCAGGCATCATTCCATTCTGACCCATCATCATCATCATTCCATGCTGTTGTTGCTGTTGCTGTTGTTGCATTTGCTGTCTCTGCTGCTTATTAAGCTGTTTCTGGAGCTCCGCTTGCTTCTTTTCCTCTTCCAACCTCCGTTTTCTTTCCACAACCTTGAACAAAATATCAGGATGATTCCAAATTTTCGAGCACGCTGAGAACGCCATCAGTGGGTTGAACACAGCGTCTCCATTCATTGAAATCTCATCTCTGGCCCAGAGAACAAAGTTTCGATACAGCTGCCGTTGAATTTGACTTTTCCTCAGGAGCAAAACGTATTCCTTGCTTTCCGGAAGGATTTTCTTGAGCAAGTGATGAGTTCTCCGCTGTACGAATCCCTTGACAAGCTCTACAAGTACATGAGTTCTCTGAAGAGCAATCTTGATGTCTTCTTTCGATGAATCCACGCATTGTCCGTTTTTGATGGGTTTTTCGAATCGCTCAATGAAGGACTTCCGAAGTCCCAGATACTTTGGACGAACGAAATCAATCATACAGAAGTATTCGAGAAGATTATTCTGAAGAGGATATCCAGTCAGAACTATTCTCCGTTTCGTTTGAATTGCTCCTAGGGTATTTGAAATCTCAGCAGTGATATTCTTGATCTTGTGACCTTCATCACAAACCACAAGGTCCGGTCCGGGATCCAGAAGAGCCTTTCGAATCAGATCAAACGCCTCCTTTCTGATTCTTCCACCATTTGTGAATCCAGTCTCAAACTCTAGCTCTTCCTCTCTAGCTTCTTCAAATGCATCTCTACCGTATCCTCCAGATGACATTCCAGATATTCCAGACAGATTCAGGCGTGGGCGGGACTTCTTCTGTTTTTTGGGTTGAGTCATTTTGATAAGAAGACGGAACATGTCATAGCCGATGAGCAATACGCCACCTCTTTGATCCCATTGATCTAGAAAAATAAACCTTTAGATTTAATTATTTTCTAAAAGACTTACCAATCAAATCCACGCGTTGATCGAAGCTCTTCACACCATCACCCAACAGAAAGACCTCAAAATTGCGAATCTTATCTCCCGTATCCGAGAACTTCGGAATCCATTTATCATACTCCGCATACCAATTTTGAATTGTGTTAATAGGAACAATGACAAGCACTTTCTTCGCTTTGGTAGCTCTTAAAAAGATTTCCGAGAATGTGATCACTTGAATCGTCTTTCCAAGACCCATAGAATGTGCCAGAATGCATCCGAAACCATCGGATTTCTTGTATTCGCCCAGCGACTCGATTGTATTATCATACATAAATCTGATCCCTCCGAGCTGATGGGGTTGAAGCACATGGGTCAGATGAGAGATAACAAAGATATCTGGGTCCTCTTCCGGATGACCTGCATTCACTAGAAGACGTCCTCCCTTCTTCTCCGTGCTCTCCAAGTCCTTTGCACTCCGCATTCTCTGTAGTCGTCGTGCTTCGACGCTATGCTGAATTTCCATCTGATCCGCATCAATCTTGTCCTTCTCAGCCTGTGCCCATCGAATACGTCGACCTGGAAATTCTGACCAAAACATGGAAATTTTGTATACAGTACCGGTGGATGAGATATTTAAAAAAAAAATTTTTGCAGTTGATTTTCGGTCATTTTGAGGAGTCCGGATCTCAGCTGTCAAGATTCCGATCACTTTGAAATTTTTTTAAAAACAGACTTAGATTGAAAACTTTGCATTTATAGAATTTTTTGGGATCTTTTAGTTTTTCAGCAATTTGCCGATTTCTGAAAGACACCGCTTTTTGGACAATTTCCTGCCTGTTTCAGGGCCATTTTTGATATATTTGTAGTCCGTTTTTGAGCAATTTTTGCTCATCTTTGGTGACTTTTTATCAGATTTTTTAAAAGACTCAAAGTGGCTCAAATGCGAAGAATCGATAACTTTTGAAAAACGGTCCGAAAACAAGCCAAAAATTCCTGCCTTGGGACCGTTTTTGAGCCGTTTTTGTCCCATTTTTTGCCTGTTTCGGAGCCACATTTAGCCCATTTTTAGTCCGCTTTTGATCCGTTTTTAGGCCGTATTTATTTTTTGTACGATTCAAAGTCAAAGACGAAGAGCCTGAAACGGCTCAAGAACGGTCCAAAAACGGACAAAAAATAACCAGAAATTTCTGGAAAACGGACAAAAAATGGGTCAAAGATTTTCCCTGAAACGGGCAAATATGGGCAAAAAACGGCTCAAAAAACGGTCCTAAACGGTCCTGAAACAGATTTAAAAAAAAGGATGTCTTTCAGAAATCGGTAAATAGCTGAAAAACTAGGAATTTTCAAAAAATTCTGTGAATGCAAAGTTTTCAATCTAGGTCTGTTTCGCACCCTCCGAAATTTCCAAAGTGATTGGAAACTTGACAGCTAAGTTCCAGACTCCTAAAAATATAGAGGCTTTTTCAATGTTTTTCAACTTACCGGGAACAATTTGAGGTGCATAATTCTTAACATCCGTTATCATTATATCATCATCCGAATCGTCATCCAACGTTATCACATCAACAGGATCTCTCGACGTCGACGGCTGTTGCTGATGAAAAAAGAATGCGTCGGGCTTCTGCTCCATTTCGCCGTCTCGAAATCTCTTAATATCGTTTTCTACATTGAATCCAAACATCTGTTCAAAATCATCGTCGTCTAAATCTAGCTGCGGCAGCTGTTGATCCTCTGCGGCGCCTGACAGGAAAAGTGACTCCATTTCTTGAATATGGTCGTTTTCTGGCTTGATTCTTTCCAGTCTCTCCAATCGCTCTTTTTCCAGACGTTGTGCTTCAGAAATCTCTCCATCCATGTCATCGGCGCCAAAGTCTGTCCTGAAAAGGGTTTTAGTATTATTCTTGTAGCAAAAAGTCGGAGCTGTGGCCATGGCTGCAGGTCCCACAGCGGCAACTGCAGTAACCTATAATAAATATTTTATTTTCCGGATTTTTTTCCAGTAAAAAAAAAGAAAAACTAATAAATCCGGAAAATTAAAATATTTTGAGGATACTGTAGTTGTGCCTTCGGCTCACACATGAGGGATTCTCTCATGTGTGCTTCGCCCCAATTTTTTTAAATTAAAAATAATTGTTAAAAACCTAATATGTTTCCGTTTCAACGACTTTTTGGTTTGAGTCGGAATTCGAATATTGAGAAGCGCTTCTTCGGATTCGTCCTCTGCAACAAAATAATGTTAAAAATTTAAAAACCCAAAAATCTCACCTTTCTTGATATCTCCTTTTTCCTGATCATCATTTTCTGTCTTTTCATTGGTTCCTCCATTCCTCAACTCTAATTCTTCCTCTTCTTTTATCTCTTTTTCATCCTCATCTTCTAGCTCTTCTTTTATAATTCTCCCCGCATTTTCGTCATCTTTTTCTTCGCTCATACCGTAGTTTGATTGTTAAGATATCTGAAAATCTAATAAATCGATTAAAAAAATGACTATAAAAGGGAACGATTGCTCATTGCGAAAGGGAGAGGTGCTCCGATCGAGGGAGGATTCAAGCGAGGCCAGACAGTGTGTCATTCGACGAGACGCAGACATAAACGTTTGCCCGCGGGGCGCGTTTGCGTTCGTTTGTGCAATCACGTTTCAGAACTTTTTTCTGGAAATTTCCGAAAATCGATAGAATAGCAGGCCAGAAGATCAGAAAATCGAAATTTTTATTCATTCTTAACATATAAAAAAGAAAACCCATACATATACATTTGAGTGTTACTGGCAAAAAAAGAAGACTACAAGCAAAACGAGATCTAGATTCTGTTAGCATTACATAAAAACCTAATTTATTAAAACAATGAAAAATCAAGTGTTGGCTGCAGCTGGAGCTGCTTTTGCCAATTTCTCCTTGAGCTTCTCGGTTGTTGACACCAGAAGGCTCTTCTGTTCGTCTTGTTGCATCTGAAACTTTGGATTTTTACATTTCACTGAATTCAATTAATTAAGTGATGGCCGAACCTTTTGCAATGTGACTTTATAAACATCGCCGTTTCCATCGACGGTGAGAACCGAATATCCATCGAACCAGCTCAAATTCTTCACACGGTAGTCAAAGCGAAGAAGACGTGGATTCGTGAGGAGACGGAGGAATGACACGTATTTGACTCTCCATCGAAATCTTACCGTCCCCTCGTCAATCACCGGAACCACCGATAGAACTTCCATTTCAACGTGGGGAAGGAAGACTTGTCCCAAGGTTCCAATCATTCCGAAATGGCTCATCAGCTGCTCGATTCCGCGCTTTTGCACCGAGAAAATTTGATCGTCACACACGACGTCTTTCCGATAAAATGTGTAGTCCATCCGGTGTCGGAACATCAGAGGAACCTGAAATTTTAGTTTTTTTGTCAGGATGCCTGTTTTAATGCGTGAAATTCAAGTGTGGGCGGAGCTTAGGAATCCTTAAAGGTGCATGTATTTTTCTGGGCTTTTTTGGATTTTTTGATAAATTTAATAGATTTTATGCGATTTTTCGGTTTTTTTTTTGTGAAAAAAGTACTTTCTTCTTCTCAGGTTTTTCTCAAAAAAATCCCAAAAACCGAAAAATTCGTTTAAAGGAGGCCAGACACGAAAGTCTACGGGGTTTTCTCGGGGCGAGATCATGTATTCTGACGGAAAATCGCGCGATTGCGACCCAATGCGCGCTACTTGACGAGCATTTATTTTTTTTTTTAGTATACACTAAATTTCTTCAATGTTAGACAACTATTCCCGACTTTTTTTTTAGTTATTCGGTCATTCCAAGATGTCGCCGCATGAAAACAGAAAAAAAAAACGAAAACGGACATCTGGAAGTCGAACCCGCGATGCACAACGGATAGACAAGCGTGCTCACCTCTACACCACACAGGGCTTGTCGGCTTCTGCCGCTAAAACGGTTATGAAATGAGGAGTGGGTGCCGCTTGGAAGAACGGTCGCGTTTTCGCTTGTACAATAACAGGGAGTTATGGTTTGGTGTCCCTTGTTATTTTCTGACTGTACTGTGGCATATATCAAAAAACTAGACTTTTGAAAATTTTCATGTCTGGCCTCCTTTAAAAATAAGGGAAAATGACCAAAATTCGAAAAAAAATAAACCAGAATTTTTTTTTAAAAATCATGAAAACACATGCTCCTTTAAGGATTCCGCTATCGAACCCTAAGCTCCGCCCACTCTTGAATTTTCGGCCGCCATTTTCCTAACAACTAACAGTTTCATTCAATCTCGTCGCTACATGATCCAACTGATGTGGTGCGGGTTTCTCGTGTGAAAAATCAATGCTGAAACATCGAATCGCACGGAAGGCTGGCGAGAATCGAGTCGAGAGAAGCATGCTTCTGAAGCTTCGTCAATGACGGTGTTTTTCAAATAAACAAAGAAACTTCAGCGGCGGTCAATAGCCATGTGTTGTTTTTGTACAAGAAAAGAAAACGGATGCTTTAATTTGTCAATACATATAAAATAGGCAAACGGATAAAATGCTCATTGTGTGCAGTAATCAGAAAGAATGTGAATTCATATATAGAACATGAAAAGATAATAATAAATTATGGTTGTCCGAGATCCTTCAAGCTTCAGCCTGCGCAGTTTCTTCCTCCTCCCCTGCTTCTTCCTCTTCTCCAGCTTCTTCTCCTTGTCCCTCTTCCTCTTCATCGTCCTCCTCTTCCTCCTCATCATCCCCATCTTCCTCTCCATCAGCAATCACACCAGCATCACCTTCACCTTCCTCCTCTTCCTCATCCTCCCCTTCTGATTCATCCTCATCCATCTCCTCTTCTTCAACATCCGCTTCCATCTCCAACTCCAACTTTGGCGAACCGCCGCCACCTCGCTTGTTGATCGGTTTTCCATTCTGAAAAGTTTCTTTGGTAACTAGCTAATGCCACGTGTCAAGTACCTCATCCAATCCTCGCTCCTCGTTCAAAAAACCTTCAATATCATCCTCATCGACCTCCTGCATATCAGGCATCACATAGTACTGAAGTGGATTGATGAACAAGTCGTCCTTAATCACCTCGGCTATCTCGTCACTGTCTGGTGGAGCAGCGTATGAAAGCCACTCGAGGAACGTGATGCTCGCCGCGTCGTCATCTGGCTGAAAATCGCGCTAATTTCGGTGTGAGAGCTCAAGCTCCTGAATGCTTCTTACCAGCGTCGGCTTCTTATTATCCTTCCATTGAATTTCGGTGATTTCAGTGCTCGGTGTCTCCGATTGCAAATGATACGATTTAGTGATGACGTCATTCTCAAAGTAGTCGTTTTTGTCGAAAGTCATTATAATCTTGAATCCACTGCGAAGATCATCAAACTCTTGAACTTCGAGATCACGCAATGCGCTGAGCAGATCCTCTTGCTCTTCTGGGATCGCTGTTGAGAGAAGATGATGATTAAGGAACGCCGTCTGCCAGAAGTTGTCGATTTTCGTCGTTAACGCCTTCCGCTTCTCGTATATCGGCACTCGTTTCTTGTTGAATGTCTGCTCAACGCGAAGGATCTCCTCGGCTGCTTTTTCACTCATTATATCCAATTGATGTTGAATGGTGTCCAATTCGATCAGCTTCTCCTTGACCGCATCGGCTACGTCGGCCCGAAGATTCGGGAACTCATCGATGCTTTTCATGCGCTTCGCCGCCGGCTCATCACTCATTTTACCTGAAAACAAGCATAATTTGATGAGAAATTAATAGAAAAAGAAGGAAAAAACAAGAGAAAAAAATGGGTTTGAATTCGATTTGTCGGGAAAAGCGCCAACGCACCGGATTTGCGCCGCAGCGGTGCGCGTAGTCGAAGGCCTAAATGAACGCGTCAGAACGGATAAAATTAGGTGAAACAGAACCCAAAAAACCAAAAAAAAAAACCAAGAATTTGCATTTGATAAAATTCATTCATGCGGGAAGCTGTGGTTAGTAGAAGGCGGGGGCAAGAATACATGCAATGATATTCGAAATATTAGAAATACACATCACAAGATTCGAGATTAGTCGGGGAAAAAAAGAGGGAAGCGGGTGATTGGAAGACCGGTGAAAGACCTGAGAAAACGAGGCCAAAGGGGAAAGAGTGAGATTATTATATTCACAAATTGCATACAAATTATTAGTTAGTATGGGAAACACGAATGAAAGCAAATTGGTGTGTGCGGCAATTTGACATGCGATTCACCAAAGCTCGAGATGCTTTGCCATGTCTTCAGCAAACTGATCGAATGTAGGCATCGTGGAGAATGATTCGTCGGGCTTCAGCATTGGATCGATGGTCGACGACTTTGTGAGCAGGGCCGAGTTGGCGAGATAAGCAGCAGCAGCGGCTGCCAGTGGAGACGTATCGAGATCTTGCAGCGGTGTCGATCCGGCGGACGAGTAGCCGGATACTCCTCCGGGGGTCGACTGCTTTCCGAGCATGGTGAATGGCAAGACTCCGTTGGCGGCTGCTCCGATGAGCATCGACTCGAATGGGCTCATTGGACGGCTTGTCATGCTTGGATTGTCCAAATTGAAGAATGAAGATGGCTCCAATGGCCAGCTCGATGGTGGATGATTGGCTGCGTCTGTAATAAATGAGATTTTGAGGAAACGCTTCTTTAGTAAATCTTTACCTTCTTCCGGTGAGCTCAACAACGGGATCTCGTACTTTGGTCCACGAGAACTAACTGGCGTAGGTCCCAATGGCATCTTGGCGGCTGGCTCATCTGGAGTACATGGTCTAGCAGCCATCATATCCAAAGGCTGAGATGGAACAGCGCTGAGATCTGGAGCCGTGGTACGACCGCCTGTCATGATATGCTGCTCCATCTGATCACGGAGATCGGCAAGCGCGTGGCGCTGGGAAACCTCGAACAGCTTGTCAGCACGAATGTAGGCGTTCGGTCCATGATCCGGATGTATGAAGAGACAACGCTTGCCATATGGGCACAGGCCAGTGGTGGTGTACTTGTCGCACAGTTTTGTCTTGTATTTGTTGTTTTGACGCGGCTCGATACTGAAAAAGGGGTTTGATAGGTTTTTGGCTAGATTCCAGCAACGGTTTTTGGCTAGATCCCAGCAACGGAACTTACAGAGACGGACGGAGCTCCTCCTCGCCGTGAGCAAAACGGCAATTCTCTGCGAAAGTGCAGGTCTTGGACTCGAGCCATGCTTGGCATATAACCGTCTTGTACGATTCTGGCTTCTGCATACGACGCTCTCCACGACGTCTTGGGTCGGCGAACGAGTGTCCCAGTGTGTTCTGAGGAAGAATGTTGAGCGCACGCATTTGCAACGAGTGAATGTGCTCATTTCTGAAAATGATATCAATTAATAAGCTCAGGAAAGTCTTCAACTCACTCCGCGATTTCTTTGCGAAGCTGCTCATTGACTGCCATCAAGTTAGCGGTTTGTGCGATCAGCACATCCAATTGAGCCTTTGGGCTTTTTGGTGGTGGGACATCATTGTCAAGCGCTGTGGCTGGAACGCTGGAAACTCCCGACATTCTTCGAAATGGAGGGTGATGTTAGTATTCGATTCGAATTGAGTTAGCGACCCTGGAAAAGGAAAAACTTGAACAGGAAAGAAGAATGAATTGAGTGGCTGAAAACGAGTGGAAATGAGCGGAGAATGGCGAAAACTGACAGGCGAAGAACTCAGTTGCGCGCCCATTCGAAATCTACGCGGGTTCCGCGCTTCGAAAAGATCGCAAACTTGTAAAAGTGAAACTAAATGCAGGACGAGAAACCATTTTCTTCTCAAAAATCGCAAATTCCCGCTTGTGGTTCCCAAACCGACAAGTCTTACTGTTTCACTCGTTTCAAATGTGTGCGATAAATTTAGGTATGCGCCTTTAAAGGTTACTGTAGCGAATTTTTAGTTGGAGCCAAATTTGAACTTTCTGCAATTTTCTGGTGAATTTCAGAGCTTATTTCGAAGTTAAAGTGTTAATTTGAGAAAAAAACCCGTTAAATTTTTAACAAAGAAAATTTATCAGAGAAAAAAAGTACAGAGAATCTGAAATTGAGCAAAAAAATCCGAAAAAGATTAAATTGTTTAGAAAGAGCTGAAAAATCAATTTAAATTGACAAAATCTGACTCTTCTTGTTCCTTATTCAAACGTTCAGAGTAAAAGGTGTTTTTTCAAAATTCAAAAAGCTGAAAATTTCAAGATTTTTAACTTTTGAAAATAATTAGATGATTGTAGGAAAAATTCCTAAATTTGTACCCTGTTCGATTTCAGATCTAGATTTTAAAATTTAAAATCTGTAATGATAACATTTTATTGGAATAATATGCAAAATGTACAGATTTTCAAATTTCAGAAAAAGAGAACTGAAATTATTTAGATGGTTGTTGGGCCCCTCCAATCGGAAGTTCTGGAACCATGTCAACGAGACCTTGGGCAACTCCACCAACACTCTGAAAATATATTATAACGGTAATTAGGAGTAATTAAAAGAGTAACTATTTACCTGAACAGCAGCACCAGCTGCTGGGACTACTCCATCAATAACTCCTTGAACAGCTCCTGTTCCTGTCTGAAAAATATTTATTTTTTGAAGATGCAATTAACTAATTATCGTTAATTACCTCTGCCACATTATGAACGGTATCCAGAGCAGTGTTAACAACTCCAGAGAGCATTTCATTTGGACGGGCAAATGAAATAGTGAAAAAGAAGAAGAAGAGGATGGAAAGAATCTTGAACATTCTGGAAATTCTATATTGTTTTTTATTCAAATAATGTAGGAAAAACTGAATGATTTCCATAGAACTTCATTTCTTTTTATACCCAAAAAATTTAGTTCCAATATTCCGAATTATCAGACAATAATATGTTTTTCTGATCATTATTTCACTTCCTTGTCTCTGAAAATCTGAAAATTTCCGATGAAAACACAGAAAACTCACAATCAGAGATCAAAAAAGAGGATATTGTTTTTGAGATTAACACAAATTCTGCTTTTTTTTTGCAGATTTTTGGATACAGGAACTGAAAATTCGTTTGAGAAGACAGGTGTCAAAATATTATTGTCTGGAAAATTGAGTAATTTTTGGAAGTAAAATTTCAGGTATAAAAGGGGAATGAGGTTGGCTGAAACGCATTCAGTTTTTCTTACTTTATTCAAATAGAAAATCATATAGAATTTCCAGAATGTTCAAAATTCTTTCCATCCTCTTCTTCTTCACTATTTCACTTGCTCGTCCAAATGAAATGCTCTCCGGAGTTGTTAACACTGCTCTGGATACAGTTCATAATGTGGCAGAGGTAATTAACGATAATTAGTTAATTGCATCTTCAAAAAATGAATATTTTTCAGACAGGAACAGGAGCTGTTCAAGGAGTTATTGATGGAGTAGTCCCAGCAGCTGGTGCTGCTGTTCAGGTAAAATAATTACTCTCTTAATTACTCCTGATTACCGTAATAATATATTTTCAGAGTGTTGGTGGAGTTGCCCAAGGTCTCGTTGACATGGTTCCAGAACTTCCGATTGGAGGGGCCCAACAACCATCTAAATAATTTCAGTTCTCTTTTTCTGGAGTTTCTAAATATTTCTTTTCTGAATCTGTAAATTTTGTATATTATTCCAAAAAAATGTTATCATCGATTCATTGAAGATTTTAAATTTCAAAATCTATCCTATCTAAAACTGAAAGAGGTCCCATATTAGGCATTGTTCCTGCAAGCGTCTGGTTACTTTCAAAATTTAAACAACTTGAAAAAGATTCCTCACTCCTTCTTTCTTGTTTTAAAATTTTGTTCCTTCTTCTTTTTTGAGAAAAAAAAACAGTATTAACAATATTTATTCATACAAATTTCATAAAGAAAAGAAATACATTTAAACACCCGTAACAAGAAGGAAAATTTGCGAAAAACGTTATCTCTGATTGAAAAGATACAACCTCCGAACATCGATATAAGTCCAGATGTACGAGTAGATGAAGAATATCTCAAATGCGCCGAATACCAAAAAGGCGACTCTGGAAAATTTTATTTTTTTCAGTTCGGAACTATTTAGGCAAAGTTACCGTAACAAAATAATATCGGCAATTTTGTAGCTTCGATCCTCTCCATTAACCTCTTCTCGAATCTCATCCGGTACTGTTATAGTTGATCCGATTACCGCTCCTACAGTAATCCGTTTTTAATTTATTTTTTTGATGATTTGTTTGCACATTTACTCACCGGCATAGGCAAAAAACAGAATCGTATTCAGAACAATATACGGTAGCAAGAATTTGGGTCTCGAGCGGAAAACTGCCACTATAAAAAGCATACTGAATGTGAGGAGGAGAACGATAAGGATGGAGCAGATTACTGTAATAAGGTGGCCTATGGTGAAGAATTTGGTTTTCTATGCCCTTACCAATGAACTCCACATAGTTTTTTGGGGTTTTCTGAATGAGACGGACCAGGCCATAAACATAGAAAGCGAATAGGAAGATTGCATTGAAACAGATCCCGAATATTGAAACTGGAAGAAAAAATATTTGTTTTTTATTATATTTTTTGCAAAATTCAAAAAATGGAATGTGTTTATTTATTGTATCATCTTATCACTAGAAAACGTAATTCAGCATTAGAATGTCAACAGAAATGGCTGGCCTAGAAAAACAAATCAACCGTAAACAGTAATAGAATGCCTCGCGAACCGTCAACTCTTATATATCTTGGTTTCTTATATATCTTGGTTTCTATGTCTTGGTTTCTTTAGGAGATACAAAAAAAGTGTCAACTGATAAAATGCTTATCATAACATTTTAATTATTTTGTTATTTGACAACTTTTTGATATCTTTCACAGGAACCACAATAACTGAGATCAAAGTTGACTGCTCAAATTTGACAACTAAATGGCCCTCCAAACCATTAACTTTAAACCGATATATCTCATTATCTGTTGAAGATATAAAAAAGTGATCAACTGATAAAATGTCGGTGATAAGATAATAAACAAAATATCAGTTGAAATCATTTTGATACCTTTCTCGCAAACCGTGATAAACAGCTTACTTTTATGTACACCAAAATACCCGCATATCCTTGTTGGTTTTGGTGGTGGCGGCACGGAAAAATAGTTTTGGTCCGTTGAAAGTTTGTCAGAAATTGTGGACATTGTGATGAATGTGTTGGAATTGTCTGAAAATATTTTTGAAAATAATTCCGGAATTTTTTTTGATAAGGAAAAATGATGGGTTTAGATTAAACCGTTTAGTTGAACTTTTCAGGAAAAATTGATCGGTTAGATAACTTATTTTTTGTTAATTTGAGTTGTTGATAAGAGCAAAAATAGAAACTTTGCACTGGAAACTAAATTAAAAGGATTGAAAGTCACAGAAAATGTTAAAGTTTTACAACTCAAAATTTGAAAAACTTCTAGAAAACATTTTTTTTCTTCAATTCTTTAAAAATCTGAAATTACAAAAAATCGAACCAACAATTTAAATTGCTCAAAAGGTCATGCGTATACTCATTTGAAAGCTCATCTCAATTTTAATTAATTTCTCAAACTCTATTCGAGTCGGTTGAAAATTTAAAAAGTTATGAATAAAAAAACCATCGAGTCTGGAATCTCGATTGACTCACCTTTCTTTTTCATATCCTTTTTCATTTTCATACTGACTTTTTCTAGAAGTTTCTGACTCTGAAAATCAAACTTTTATATAAATACAAAGAAGAAGAAACAGAGTAATCGGAAAGATTGAAAAACGAAAAAGAACTATGTTAATCTGAAAATTGGCCTCATTTGGAAAGAGAAGTGTGTCAAGATGCGCCCAATTTTTCCAAAATTCCAATTCTCAAAAAATTGTTTGTAGGTGGAACCAACTTCCCCCATGTCCACCTCCATCATCGAATCATCAAAACTTCAATGTTTGCCTATCGAAAAAGTTAATCGTGCCGAACTGAGAGACACTGTGAGGTCAACATGTGATCATGGGATGGGATGGGGGATCTATTTGTAAAAAATACACGAGAAATGAGTCATTTATTAGGTTCTGGGGAAAAATATCAAGATCAGGGAAATTTCAAAGCCTCCAAAGTTGAATTTTTGCCAAGTTGAAAAACTCTAGAAGTCGCGGAAGACTTTAATAGAATACCTCCCAAATTACAGATTCAAGTTTAAAAAAATTATATATATTTTTCACTCAATAAGTTTTAGCCAATTACTGAATGTCTTCAATATCAATACTTCGCATGAAAGAGGCAACTCTAATAGAAGGCCACCCTATACTGGAACTTTGAGCTCAACTATCTCGCTTCCTATAAAAGATGTCTAAAATGTGTCTTTTGATAAAATGTTGGTGATATTATGACAAACATTTTAGCAGTTGACACAATTTGGACATCTTTTACAGGAAGCGAAATAATTGAGCTCAAAGTTCAAGTATAGGGTGGCCTCCTATTAGAGTGAACTCACAAGAAAAATCGTTCCGGAAGATTCCAGATGGTTTTCCAAACTTGTTGTTTTTTTCTAATTGTATAGATAACAAATCAAGATAATTTCAGAATTTATTAACTTTTCAAAAAAAAACAATTCAAAATTTAAATCAGACCAAAAAAAATTCGAAATTCTAGGATTCTAATATTTTTGATCTAGACTTTCCAATTTTTCATTCTGTTTCATTAGTCTTATTTACATTTTCTGATTTTCAGGTCCCTCAAAATTATGTCTTTTCTGAACTCTTATTCCCTAAAAAAAGTTGGTCTCTTTTTGAATAAAAAACCTCAACTGTAAACGTTTCCTTTTCCTCTCTTTTTCTCATTTTTTTCTTCTTTGCTCTATTTATTTTCACCAATAAATCCGAAATCAAATCAAAACCCCAAATCAATTTCTCTCTAGGCGATCACTAACAAACATTTTTCTTGAGAACCTTCGTCTCTTTGATTTTTTTTTTAATTTTAAGAAAAAGGAAAAAAGTAGAAAAAGCATAAGCATTAAGAATCGTGAGAAAAAAATGGTCCTGGGAAAAGTAATATGATAGTTTTTTGGTTATTTATGTAAGGGAGCAAAAAAACTGATAAAAGTGATTTCATATTGTTTTTGGGTGTGTGATTTTTTGTGTTTGGGTAAGAAAACAAAAAATGATCTAACAAGGAGAAGCAGGAAAATAACAATAATAATTACCAAAAAAGGGAAAAGAAAGGAGACAAGAAGAAAAGAGGATAGTGAAAGTTTCGAGAACAAATAATCCATTAGTGGGAAAAAATTGAAAAGGGGGAAGACTTTTTTGTCTGGAAAACAAAAAATACAAAAAAATCTAGAAATTTTTTAAATAAATATTTTTGAAATGTTTTGAAAGAATAGTTCCGGAATAATTTCTCATCTTTAATACTTGTTTAGTGGACTGAATTACAGTAACCCTCCCAAATAAAATTACCACCAAACTTTTAATTTTGACCTAATTTATCTCGGTTTTTGTGAAAGATATCAAAAAGTGGTCAACTAACAAAATAATTTTGATGTTATGGTAAACATTCTATCAGTTGACACTATTTTGTATTTCTTAAAGGAACCAAGATATATGGGCTGAAAGTTGACGGTTTGCGGGAGCACTCTATTAGACTTCTTACGGTAGTTAGGATTACTGCAAATTTCATAAATTAAAAACTAGAACCAACAAATGATTCATTCCTGAAAAAAACCCTGAATTCCAATTTGTTCTTCAAAATTCAAACAAATGCAACACAAGAAGTGGGTCAGTTCCTGACCTATTTTGGAATGATATCGGCCATTCATTTCTACGGAAACACTTCAATGTTTGCTCTCAAAATAATATGATTATCTTTTGCCTTTTCTATCGCCGTGTATCTGGGTTGTTTGTGGAGAAAAAGAAAGAAAATGTCAAATATGGATAGAGGTTGATGATAGGAATAGGAATGCCGTTGGGATCGGCTTCTCAAATTTTCAGGTTTAAAGTTATAGTCTTAAACAAGAGAAAATGTATCTCATCTTGTAAAACGTATAAAGATTGGGCATTTTTCAAAAGTTTTATAATAACGGCAAGAGTATTTTACTAGTTGAGCACTTCTTGATATATCAAATGGAACCGAGAAAAGTTTGGTCAAAGCCCATCTCTAAAGAAGGAAAGTGTGGGAGTTATTCTATTAGAGGTTATATTGTAGTTACAGTACTACGAGTTTTTCAACATTTTGTTTATTTGAGAAAATTACAATAATTGACTTATAATATCTGTCTGATGGATATAAAGCTTTAAGTTACACTTACAGTACCGTTATTAATTTTACCAGTTTTAGAAAAAAGCAGACTTTGAAGTTTTACAAAAGTAGTTCAGAATTGTTCGTTTATTTTGAAAATTCCAGAGTATGCTAAACAAAAATATAGCTTCGATTTTGTAGTTGACAAATTTTTTGTACGAATTCATACAAATGCGATATTCAGCTCAAAACCAATCAAGAGCAGATACCATATTTCATCTAATAGCAGCTCGCCCAAACCGTCCACTGACATCAATTATTTGACATCAATTATCTCAATTCCTGTGAAAGATATTAAAAATAAGTCAACTGATGAATTTATTATCATAATATGAAAAACATTTTACCAGTTGAAAAATTTTTAATATTTTAAACGGAAATCGAGATAATTGAGCTCAAAGTTGGGACGGTCTGGGGATTCTATTTGTCCAGAAAGCTCGGAAAATTCCGGAAATACTGACATTTGAACCATTGGAATTAATTGATTCCTTATCAAAATGACAAAAAAAAAGTTTTGAAACAAAAGAAAAAATTCAAACTGACTTTCTAAAAACGAGAAATTTCTATCCCACTACTTTTCGAATGTCTAGGACTAAACAACACTCCGATATATTTGCATTTATTCTCATCTCAACAAGGAAAATGACACATGCACTTCCCATTTCTTTTTCCCCAGAAAAGGTGCGGATGGAGGTGCGGAAAGTCTGTGAGATGATACAAAAAACTGAACTCTGACTTTTTTTTTGTCTTCTCCAGTCCCAGTGAGCTCCTCCTCTTCCTTTCTTGTTCAAACAAAAGTAAGAGACTTACCCCTTTTCAACTCAAAAACAAAGTCTTCAAAATATGTTTTGAGGTGTTTTGGGTGAGGAAGAAAAAGCTGAAGGAAATGGCAAACAATTGGAGGATAGTGTGTGAAGAAGATAGTACAGTTAAGGTGGAGCTTCATGATTATTTCTTGAAGTAACAGGACAAAGAAAACAAGTGTTTTGGTTTTTCAGTTAGTAACCCTCAACTTTGGTTATCTAGAAATGTAGGTTAAAGATGTTCAATTTCTCAGCAAGTTTCGGAAAAAAGTTAAACAAAAAGTGACCTCCAAAAATGTCAACTTTGACCTAATTCACAATGATTCTCTAACAGAATGCCCCCTAATTTAAGCTCAATTATCTCGGTTACTGTAAGAGATATAAAGAAGTGGTCAACTGGTGAAATGTTTGTGATATTATGACAAAAAATTTACCGGTTTACAGATTGTTCATATCTCGTGTAGGAACTGAGATAATTGAGCTCAGAATAAGAGTATCGTTTTTCCTCTAACAACATTGAGCTCAATTATCTCGATTAATGTTAAAGATAGGAAAAAAGTTTTTGATGTTATTCTACACATTTAATTAGTTGAATAGTTTTTGACATCTCTCAAAGGTACCGAGATAAGTTATCTTGAAGATAACTAGGGTTCCAATACAGGTTTTATGGTATTTGTTTGGAAAATGTTTGATTTCTACAATAAATGTGTTTACTGTTAATGAGGATCTTTATTTCCTGTTACTTTATTTTGAACTATTGTAACAGAAGAAATCTACATCACATTTACAAAGCTCGAAAGTTATGAAGAATCAGCTACTTCCTCACTCCTCTGAAATTCACAAAATGACCCCCCCCCCCCCCACACAAATCATCAACTTTGAGCCCATATAGGGAAAAGAAAGGAGACTCGTTTCCTGTGACAGATATCAAAGAGAGGTCAACTGAGAAAATGCTTATCATAATTTCAAAAGTATTTTGTTAGTTGACAACGTTTTGATATCTTTGACAAGAACCGAGGAAAATCCTCGAGGATTCAAGGAAACTTTTGAAAACGAAAAAAAAAAGAAAATTGTCACTTCTCAAAAAAAATCACACAAATTGTGCCAGGTAACCTGGCCCAGGTTACTTTTTGGCTAATCACACTTTTTATGATTTACCGCAAACAAAAATTCAATTGACGACTCATAAGTAAATCAGTAGCACGTACAGTATTCTGACTCATTCTGAAATGGTTTATTACTTCTAAAAAAGAATCACAGCAGAGTTAAAACATTTGAAGAACTTATAGAATTCTAAAAATTACAGACACCGTAAACGTTGTAATAGTAGGTCAACTATATGTGAACTTTGAGCTCAATTATCTCAGGTCCTACAAGAAACACCAAAAATCTCTCAACTGAAAAAATGCTTTTCATAATATTACGAACATTTAATCAGTTGACAGATTATTGATATCTTTTATGGGAACAAGATAATTGAGCTCAAAATTCACGTATATGGTGAGCTGCGCAAAGACGATAGATTCTGAAATTTGACAAAATTTAGGAATTTAAAAAACAATGAAGAATCTTCATAATGTCTCAAAAACTGAACAAACTTATATTTTCTAATTTCTTTCTTTCTATCTAGTTTAATCCGCTTTATATAAACCTTCTCATGACCTCTCTTTTGAGTGTTTGTTATCTTTTTTTGGCAAAACAAATGTTGCGAACGAAAATTAGGTCAAGGTAATGGAAATAAGTTCAAAAAATGAGAAGAAAATGGTAGCAAACAGAGCTTCAAATATTTAATTATTAATTTTATCTTTCATATTTTGTAGGCTCTTTTTCATTTTCTTATCTTTTAAGCATAAAAGTTCAAAAAATAGGGGGGGGGGGGGGGGTGGACACTAATAAAACAACCTCCGGCTCGTAAAAAAAAGAGAAAAAAAAGGCCGCGGTCGGCCGGAAATTAGAAGCAATTGGTCAGAAGAAAACTATAGAATTTTGATGTTGAAGTTTTGTTGTGGAACAAAAATATCGGATATGTGGAAGAGAAATGCCGATGGCCGTGGCCAAAGGTCCTAAATACAACTTAAACTACAGTAACCTAAAAATATGCTCATTTTCCGGATTTTTCTTTTCGATTTTCACTGCTTTTCTCGTCGAGTATTCCATCATTTTTCACAAGAAAGTCGGAAAACTAAAATTTTAGATATTGAAAAATTGTCTGTAAACGAATGGGAATCGAGATAACAAATAATTACGACGATTTCAACCTAGAAAATAATTAGTTTGAGCTAGAAGTTTGTCAAATTTGTGCTTGTTGGCTTGCTGAATGACGGTGAAAGCAAAAAATGCTAAAAACCCATAAAACACAATCGAAATAACAACAAAAAATAGCCTTATCAAACTGTCTCTACCACACCCACTCAAAGAACATTAAATGACTAATTTTACACTTCTTGAAAGCCTTCAGATGACGTAAAAAGTCGAACGATTCGGAATCGAACTATGTCTTTCATGTGTTTGTTTTTGAATCAGAGAAGTGAAAAGTGGGTGAAAAGATATATATTGTCACCCCCCCCCCCCCCCCTCATAAAAGATGAGTGGTTTTCCGAAATGAGAGAGGGGGTGAGGCCACTTGAAAAGTGACCATTCGTATTAGCGAATCGCTTCCAAAAGAGGAATTTGAATTTTATTTTCAACACAGCAGGTTACGAGAGGGCACATTTATAAACACATAATTTTTGAGAGTAGATGTTTCCACAAGTAAATAGCGAATTTGGGGTAAAATGATTAACTTTGAAGGTCTATCAGAAGCTCTGCAGCTGCTTCTACGTTCCCATCGGTTTGTTCCAGAGCCAGTAGAATTAGTTCGCGGTTTTCAAAACCGTACTCTTGGAGTTGGGCAACTTGCTGCTCGTATCCTTGCTGCATTGGCTCGTCTTCCTGTTGATCTAAAGCAGGAGGTTGGGCTTGAACAGGAGCCGGTGGAGCTGCTTGACGTGTTGGTGGAGCAGCTGCAACTCCGGCGAGAGCAGCTTGCAGAGCATTTTGCAAGAGAGCTTGGGTTATCGGTTGAGCTCCTTGCTGCTGACCACCTGGCCTTTGAACTGGTCTGAATTGCTCATTTTGAGAGAATCCATATCGAGCGCCAATGGTAGCCAGAAGCTCTTTGACGACGGCGAGGAACTCTGGATTCGAGTATTTGAACCCGCCACGATCCTCTTTTCCCTTGAAAGTGTTTCGAACGCAATGTCCACGGAACATGTACCAATCCTGGAGCACAGAGATAAACTCGCTATCGAATACTAGACGTGGATGAGCTTTCATGATTTTTGTCATGTGATCAGGCAGAGCGAAGTCGTGTGCGAAACCATGGTTGCGGCGATCTTCGGGGTTTTTGTATGGAGCGACGATTTGAGAGAGTTCAGAGTCAATCTTCTTACGATCATCATTAGTGGATGGTTTCTGAAAACTTAATTATTGATTAAGCTCGTCTTTCTATGTTTTTTTTTTAAAAATTACCTTGATTTTGGACTCCGGCAGCAAAATCACACGAATCGAGTTATTATCATCGACATTTTTTAGATTTTCTTCGCTTAGCAATCTTCCATTGTGAAGAAAACCTGGAAAAAAGCTTATTATCTGTTACCTAAACAAGTAAATTTTACTTACGGAAACGCTCTTTGTTTTGTCCTCGGAACTCAGTAGAATTTTCTGACAAATTGGCGAAAAATTTAAGTTGGCCGGTGGCTATGATATCACTGATTGGAACTTCTTTGCAAGTAGTTTTCAGATGCAAGTAGACCATTTTCTATCTAGATTTGAGCTCGATGACACAGGTGAAGAAAAAATAGTCAATAAGAAATCATCATGCGGCGATGTTGCAAAAACCGCGCGCGCTCGTTGCGTTTCTCGCTGTCATCATGCCCCGCCCACTTTTCGCTCACTCGCGCATTTGAATTTTGTCGCTTTTTGTGGTCCTTTATCGATTTCCAGCCACTTTTTTGTATTGAAAAATTTCTGAAAAAATTAATCAAATGCCTGACTCAATTTTTGCAAGTGAAAACATCTAAAACTCCTTATTTTCTCTTCAAATTTGCTTACAATTGTAATTATCGCAATAATCCAATTTTTTTTTTTCAGCAAGATGTCAGAGGCTCCGAAACAAACTAAGAAACCCGTAGACGATGGAAACTTTGATAAGGAGGTACCATTTTCGTCGATTCCATGAAAAAAATTTTCAATGGTTTATTTTTAGGTCATTTCCAAGTGGCCCGATCTCGAGCTGGCGCAGACCAGATTCATGATCAATCACCCAGAAGTCAATGCCAACGTTAAAGAAGCAAAGCTCACGAAACTCCAAGAGGCCATCAAAGAGAACGATATGGCTCCATTCTATGAGCTCGTCTGCGCGGAATTCAAAATCGCTGCCGACGCAACTCAGTTGTCTGCAATGAAAGCAGCTAACGCGAAACGCATCGCCGAGATCACCGCAGAAGTCGAGGATGCTGAGAAGAACCTCGGTGAATCGGAAGTGCGTCAGGGACTACTCCGCAAATTCGAGTATTACTGCCAAATTGGAGACAAGGAGAACGCACAAAAAGCGTACACAGCAACTTATGAGAAGACTGTCGGTATGGGATACCGCATTGATTTGGTGTTCGCTATGATTCGTGTCGGACTTTTCTTCCTCGATCATCATCTCATCAACAAGTACATCACAAAGGCCAAGGATCTTATGGAGCAAGGTGGAGATTGGGAACGCAAGAATCGTCTGCGGTCATACGAAGCTCTCTACCGCATGTCTGTCCGTGACTTCGCAGGTGCCGCTGACCTGTTCCTCGAAGCTGTGCCAACTTTCGGATCTTACGAACTGATGACATACGAAAATCTTATTCTGTACACTGTGATCACAACTACGTTCGCATTGGATCGACCAGACTTGCGCACCAAAGTCATCCGCTGCAACGAGGTCCAAGAGCAACTGACGGGAGGAGGACTCAATGGAACACTGATACCAGTGAGAGAGTACCTCGAGTCATACTACGAGTGCCATTATGACAGATTCTTCATTCAGTTGGCTGCTCTGGAGAGCGAACGAGTAAGAGTTCAGAGTTGTCGAATACTTAACAAGTTACTTATTTTCAGTTCAAGTTTGACCGTTACCTGTCGCCACACTTCAACTACTACTCTCGTGGAATGCGTCAGCGTGCCTACGAGCAATTCCTTACACCTTACAAAACCGTCCGCATCGACATGATGGCCAAAGACTTCGGAGTGTCTCGCGCGTTCATCGACCGTGAATTGCACCGTTTGATTGCTACCGGCCAGCTGCAATGCCGGATTGATGCTGTGAATGGAGTGATTGAAGTCAATCACCGTGACTCGAAGAACCATTTGTATAAGGCTGTCATTAAAGACGGTGACATTCTCCTTAATCGTATTCAAAAACTCGCCAGAGTCATCAACGCCTAGATGATGGCCTTTTAACGTGTATATCCTTTCATTTTACCCGACTCTTCGCTCCCTCTTTCCCCCAATTTTTGTGCATATGTTTTTTTCTTGCGGCTGGCTCGCCGCTTCGAATCTCCCATTTTCTTCGTCGTTTCCGGTTGAATGAATTAATTTATTACAAGAATTAAAGATTTACGATTTATCGGTTAACTTTATTATTATTATTCGGTGGTGGTTAACAGCCAATATTTATACGTATTGAAATTATTTATTCATTCTCTTTGGCTCTTCTCATTCTTCTCTCACAACTTCACCCACATCGCTGCCACGTAGATTTTCTGCTGACTTCTCAATCTCTCATTAGCCTCTGTTCCAGGAGCACAATATGTTGCTCTCAACGATTTTTTGAATAGCTTCACGAACAATGGAGCCTAAAAGTTCTTATTTAGCATTAGATTTGTATTTTTAAAAAACATTTTTTTCTATGTACCTTTTCAAGAAGATCATCGTACTTCCTCGCTACATGATTCAAACCCACCACAACTTCCTCGGTGCAATATTCGATATGCCTAGTTTCGAATCCAGCCGCATTCGCTGCTTCATTAATTAGAGATACCTAAATCATGTCAATTTTTGAGAGTAGATGTTTCCAGTTCTAACATCACGAGGGTAGCGAACGTCAGCATAGCAGAAAACACCTCCCAACCGGAGAACACGAGCGCATTCTTCGAGGAATTTTCGATAGTCAGAGTAAAGATGAGCAGCTTCCACGTTTAGAACTGAAAAAAGCTCAATGTTGTCTATTGTAACCTAAAATTTCTTACCAAAATCGAAAGATTCGTCGGCGAATGGAAGATTGGTAGCATCTCCATAAACAATATTGTTTACGTTCCTTGTGACCACTTTATCACAACCAATCAGACATTTTGCTGGACCGTGCCATCTGAAATAACTGTAAATCGGGTTACCTTTGTGTATCAAATGCCCAATTTCTGATCACTGATTCACTTACCTTTCTATCTATTCTAACGAATTTCCTCTAATAGAAGCCCACCCAAACCGTCAACTTTGAGCTTAATTATCTCGATTCCTGTGAAAGATATAAACAATTTGTCAACTGATAAGTTATTTATCATCATATCACCAATA